CTTAAGGGCCCAATGGGCCGAATATTTTTTTTGGGCTTCATAACTTCGAACCAAGTTAAGAAAGGAGCCCAAAACCATTCTATCATTTTGTCAAGCCCATTCTCGGCCCAACATCAATTAAATAAAAAAAAAAAGATGATTAGTGATGTGCCACCTCACTAATAACCATTAGTTAATTATACCATTATCTCACATACATTTATGCAAATAGAGATGGACGTCCAAGTAAAAACCAACTCACCCCCCTTTATTCTTCTTAAATCTCGGCCATGAGGCCAAAAACCATCACCACACTTATTTTGCATACACAAATCTCTAAAGAAAGCTTCCAAGAAGTCCTACATTTCCTCTAAATTTTCGAAGCTTTATGTGTATCTTCAAGAGGTTCCCATCTAGATCATCATCTTTGAGCCCAAAATCACTCAAGAAGCTTACTAGGGCCGAAAACCACACCACTTTCTTCTTATCTTCATCAAAACCGAAATCTAAATCCCAATGTGAGCTTCATACCCCCTTATTTTCGGTTTTTATAAGTTTTTATGGGGGAGAATACAAGCAAAGGTGTAGATCCATCATTATGTGTATGTTTTGGTTGATTTCTATGATTATATGTGTGTTTTGTATGATTTTGATGCTAGATCTAGTTATGAATTGCTAAAAACCGAGATATATTTTATACTAGCATAGCATAAAATATACTACTACATGCAAAGTATACCAAGAAAAATAGCCAAATGGCTTGACAACACTTATTTTGGGCTAAAAACTCATTTTTTTGACATAAAATGTTAAAAATACAAAGTTGAAGGGCCTAAAATGAAATATTTCGAAATCTGATGGGTGAGATGAGTCAAAACAGTTTCCATAATGTATTTTCTGAAAATATATTATTTGGAGGATTAAAAACATAAATTTCAAACTTAATGGGCTAAAAATGACAATTTCGGCCCAATAGGGCCCATTATGCGAAATTTTCTGTTTTGGAGGGCCAAAACTGTGTTTTTCTGTAAAACAATGGACTACTAGTGTTACAAGTACTTTTCAAAGGTTTAAAATGCTTTTCAAATTTAAAAAAGGACCAAAGTTGCAAAAATTTTCCAATTTGGGCCAAAAATGTAAAAATTGCGAAAAAGAGGGGTTATAACCGAGAAAAATGAAATTTCAGGGACTTAAACTGTTTTCAATGAAAAATATGCTGAAAAATATTAATTTCAATAATTTTTGGTGTTAAAATGTCAAGAAAAATGGTTTAAGGACTAAACCGAAAATTATTTTACCTAAAGGGGTGAAAACGTAAATTTACAAAAATAAAGAGAAGGTTGTAAACAGAAAATTTTCAATGATAATTCAATACACTCGTTGTGAACAAAGATTGACACTACGACTCTCGATGAATTACAATACACAATATCACCAACAATCGTTATCAAACGAATTGATTCGGTCTCGAATCAATAACAAATCCAAAACTACTAACACTACAACGCTCAATACACATATGGAACTCTCAGAACTCTTTACTCTCGTGGAATTACTCAATACGTCGACGTACACTCCTTAGGCCCAAAAGTTGCAAATCATGCTTGTCGAGCCTAGCTAGCCCGATGACATGATCTTTAGGCCCAAAGGACACTTGCTTACATGTAGTTGGGTCTAATACGACTCGACCGCGTGTAAAAGGACTTTCAATGGCAAACATGCTGCTGGTCCCCAAGGGTCCTTCAGTACTGCTAGTAAAGTCGGGAACTCACGATTGCGGGTTGGGCTTCGGGCCCTTCACAATTGCAATGGTCTTGAACGACGCGGGGAAATACCGAGGGTTTCACACCTTCTCTTCTTCCCTCCGGTCGTGGGACTACACAATTCCGGGAGGATTGAGTTGTGTGAATAACTGCGAGTGACGCCTAAGGGATCGCTTGTAAGGTTGTCGACTGGACGTTTTCATTAACGGACGCCACAACAATTCACCACCCACTGTATACTCAATGCCTCCGGAGCTCAACGAATACCTCTAACGCAACGAAATAACAGTACATAAACTAAATAAAGCAAAGTGATAGGAAAACGTCGGGTTTTCCTAGGGTTTTCAACTAATACACTTACGAATTACATACCGACTTTTACAACTCGTACGCTTACATCTATGGAAAACAAACAAACATACTTACGGATCATCACACTTTTTTTTACCATACTATTTTCAGAAAATATCGGATTTTCTGGTGGTTTTCGAAACGATACAAACATTGGATTTCAAACATTACTTATGAACTCACCAACATTTCATATGTTGACGTTTTTCAAAATACTTGTATTCTCAGGTAACAGATAAGTCGAAGGGATAAGTGTACTCAGTGACGTTTTGCTGCTTGTTTAATTAGTACCGAACAATCTACTTTTTGGGCATGTAATGTTAGGGAACAATGTACTAAATGTAAACGCTACCAGTTGTATTATTCCAATGCTTGGTGATGTATAATGTTATGTTTCATGTATATTCATTGTGATGGTATTCAATTGAGTCACAACAGCCCCCGGACGTTTCCGCCGTCTGGCTCGGGGGTGTGACATAATTTTATCATATATTTAAATCTTTATTTATAATTAATTGTAAATCACTTTTGGGAAATACATAATTGGTCAGTGGAAGAGCTCTTAGAACAAACGTAAATGTCAGAAGGTGAAAGAGAGTTAACACAGGCTCACGAAAGAGTTGGTTTCAAGAAAGTATTAGGAGAACGACATGGCCATATCAGAGGCATTAGCCAAAAACCTTCTATTATCCCGCTGATTTCACAGCCATCGCAACCATCACCACAACCATCACAGGTAAAACAAAATTATTTAATTTCAATAAATGGATGTTGATTTGATAATTTTTGTTTGTGGTGATTATTTTCTAAAAGCTTTGGTAATTGGTATCAATAAATGCATATTGATTTGTTAATTATGTTTTTGTCCCAAGTACAAGAAATAACAATGTATTTCGGTTTTTTGTCTCTAGTTTAAAAATAACAATGTACTTTGGCATCATAAAATGCATGTTGATTTGGTAATTTTGGTTTGTGGTGATAATTTGCTAAAACTTTTATTAATTGTGCTTCTGTCCCAAGTGCAAGAAATAGCAATGTACTTTGGTTTTTTGTCTCTAGTTTAAAAATAGCAATGTACTTTGGCATCATAAAATGCATGTTGATTTGGTAATTTTGGTTTGTGGTGATTATTTGCTAAAAGCTTTGTTAATTATGCTTTTGTCCTAAGTGAAAGAAATAACAATGTACTTTGCTTTTTTGTCTCTAGTTTAAAAATAATAATGTACTTTGGCATCATAAAACGTATGTTGATTTGGTAATTTTGGTTTGTGGTGATTATTTGCTAAAAGATTTGTTAATTCTGCTTTTGTCCCAAGTGCAAGAAATAGCAATGTACTTTAGTTTTTTATCTTTAGTTTAAAAATAGCAATGTACTTTGGCATCGTAAAATGCATGTTGATTTGGTAATTTTGGATTGTGGTGATTATTTGCTAAAAGCTTTGTTAATTGTGCTTTTGTTCCAAGTGTAAGAAATAGCAATGTGCTTTGGTTTTTTGTCTCTAGTTTAAAAATAGCAATGTACTTTGGCATCATAAAATGCATATTGATTTGGTAATTTTGGTTTGTGATGATTATTTATTAAAAGCTTTGCTAATTGTGCTTTTGTCCCAAGTGCAATAAATAGCAATGTACTTTGGTTTTATGCCTCTAGTTTAAAAATAGCAATGTACTTTGGCATCATAGAATGCATGTTGATTTGGTAATTGTGTTTTTGTCCCAAGTGCAAGAAATAGCAATGTACTTTTGGTATATCTTGTATTTAACTGCAAGAAATAGGAATGTACTTTGGTAGTTTTTGTTTATGTTTGATAATTTAACTTATAAATTTATATATGTTCTTATTTATTATGTAGTTGGAAAATCTTCGGGAAATGCTCAACGACCCGACATGTATGAAGAAGCTTTATACGTTTTTTTCAATCGAGAAATAATCAAGGAGGAAACGATGGAAATGGAGACGATTGTTTGTGAGATAATTAATTTGTGTGTTGTATGTTAGACTTACCGTCACACTTTGCTATTTGTTAAAATTGTAAAACTTTGATTGTTTATTTTGATATGGAATTTATTATAATAGTATTTTGTATCTAATCGGATGTTATGTAATTTTTTTTTCTGTATTTAATGTCGTAATGTATCGGTTTTTTATACCAAAAATCGTTAATTAAATAAAATTTAAAAAATAAAAAATATTATTAACGACAACACTATTATCGACGAAATGGACATTAGCGGCGACGCAAAGTATTACATGCAATATGGTCATTATCAGCGTCAACTCTTTTTACCGACGACATGTCGCCACTATTACCATTACCGAAGATTTCGCCAATGTTTACCGGCGACTTTTGTCGCTGGCATTTCTTGTAGTGAAACTAATATAATGATATTAACTCTTACCATATATACCCTTTGTTCTCCTATATACCCTTTGTTCTCCTTTTTTTTTCTTTTTCTTTTCATGTTGTGATTATATGCGGAAAAACCAACAAACGATTGTTTCGGGGTCCACCTATAAAGTTCCAGCACATAAGACTCAGGAAAATTATAGATTATCTGTTTAACTATATATTACGTTTTCTTTAACAATTTAAAATAGAAATCATTAAACTTTTCGAGACGAAGTTAACATTTCTAATTATTTTATGTATAAATCGTTTAAAAATTATATACATGAAAGAAAGTTTTTGGAGAATTTGAACAAATTTATACGTTAAGCTAAAAGATCTATATTACAACAATATAAATTATGTTATTATACGCAGCTGGATACGTATAACAAGGATCAAGTAAATACCATTCTCAGCGTTACTTTGAAATGTCAACTTTCACCAAACTTGCATTACAATCAATATTCAGGTATATATTACTATGAAACTAAACCCTATAACATCATTTTCAAAAAAGAAAACAAAAAAAAAATCACAAAGGAATCAAATTTATCGTATAATGGGTCGGATTAAGCTTTTACTATCGATATTATTGTCCTTATTAATCGTGTTACTTTGTTTATTCTTCATGATAACACATGTGGGCAAGGAGTCGCAGGGTGGTGAAAATGACATCAACTGGTGGTGTGGGACGACTCCTCACCCGAAGCATTGCAAGCATTCTCTCGGCGGAAACAACTCCCAACCACCACAAAATAGAGATGATATCCGGATAGTAGCTTTGGAAGCTGCTTTGAAACTTGCCGATCATACTCAAGGTTTCACTAGGAATCTTGAGAAACTATGCCGGAGCAAACGGAAGAAAGCTGTCTGGAAAGATTGCTACAAGCTCGTAAACAACACCATTATCCAACTCAATCAAACCCTAATAGGTCTCAAAGACCATAAAATCTCCGATGTTGATGCTCAGACATGGCTCAGCACCGCCCTGACCAATCTCCAGATTTGTTTCTCTGGCTCCGGCGAGCTGAATTTGACAAACTTTGTAGCTCCTATCAAAACCAGTAACTTGACGAAGATGATAAGCAATAGTTTGGCTATAAATCAGTACTTCTTGAAGCAAACACAGGCTTCCGAAAAAGTGGAGGACTTTCCGACATGGGTTACAAGTAAAGATCGGAAACTGCTGCAAACGGGGTCAATCTACTCTAGGGCTAACGTCACGGTGTCTCAGGCGAAAGGAAGCAAGTTCCGAACAATTCAATCAGCACTCGATCATGCAGCAAGTATTAAACGTGGAGATGGGAGATATATCATCTACATAAAACGAGGTGTTTATAAGGAGAATATTGAGATTGGAAATGATCTGAAAAACATCATGTTTCTTGGCGATGGGTTGAGGTACACCATAATTACCAGTGACCGGAGTGTCGCCGGAGGTTTCACAACTTATAGCTCGGCAACCGTAGGTAAAAATTTAGTGCGTTTTTTTTTGAAGTTTTATTGAGGTTAATTAATTTAAATATATACTGATTCATTTGTTATGATCAAATTCAATTCAGGTGTGGATGGAACGGGATTTATTGCTCGTGGAATAACATTCCGGAACACCGCAGGCCCAGAAAAGTTCCAAGCAGTTGCATTCCGATCGGCATCGGATCTTTCTGTCTTCTATGCTTGTAGCTTTGAAGGTTATCAAGACACTTTATTTGTCGTAGCTCAACGACAATTCTACAAACTTTGCTATATTTATGGCACAATCGATTTCATATTTGGTAATGCAGCAGTCGTGTTTCAAAACTGCATGATTTTAGCAAGAAAACCTTTGAATGGACAAGCAAATATGATAACAGCTCAAGGTCGTGGTGATCCATTCCAAAACACGGGAATATCAATTCATAATTCTCGTGTTATGGCAGCACCTGACTTGAAGCCTTTAGTAGGGTCTGTTCAAACATTCTTAGGTAGACCATGGCAAGAATATTCTAGGACTGTTTACATGAAAACATTCATCGATACGCATGTTAATCCACAAGGATGGTCACCATGGGGGAATACTGATTTTGCATTTAAGACGTTGTATTATGGTGAATATGAGTGCTTTGGGCCCGGTGCAGCTACACAAAACAGAGTCGAATGGCCTGGATATCATGACATAAAGACCCAAAGTGAAGCCTCACAGTTTACCGTAGAAAATCTTATATCGGGTCGGGGTTGGTTGCGGGCTACCGGAATTCCATTTATTGTCGGGTTGTGATTATAAAATTAGTTATTTTTTTAGGTATCTTACATTATTTGATTTAAGATGCAAATGAATATTTATGTACATAATTTAATAAAGATAAAATTGCAAAAATGGTCATTGTTTACCGGAATTCCTTTTTCTTGTAGTGCACTGTTCCAAAAAAAAATTAGGTCGACACCATCGGTCCGAAATAGAAGTTTTATTGCGATTTTCGTCCTTGCTAAATTTGAAATGAGTTAAAAATGACAATATTGCTCTTTTTGTTTTATTTATTTCATTTATTCTTTAAATGAAATATAAAATAAAAATTCCTAACCCCTCTCTCTCTCTCTCTCTCTCTCTCTCTCTCTCTCTCTCTCTCTCTCTCTCTCTCTCTCTCTCTCTCTCTCTCTCTCTCTCTCTCATTTCTTCTTCAAAACCCATAAGCACAAAAAAAACATATTCAAAAGAAACTTCTTCACGTCTTTGCCAAACAGACACAAAGTCCTACCGGATTTCAAAATGAAAACCGGAGAAGACTAACAGACATCATTGCAGCTCTAGAGTTTTCGCCATCGAAGAAAATGAATCGGGAAGGGTGGCAGTGACTCTAGCGAATCTAACATCTAGAAATGAGAATGGCTTTAGCGATTCTGACGACTCCAATATTAGCGCAAGGGTTGATTTCTATGCTATATGTATGTGGCTATCTACTTCATCATGTACGCATATCGATCTCTAACCCTAATCGAAATTTGTCTCCACAACCGAGATCTGAAGACGAAACAATATTTGAAGGCAAGATATCGATTTATAGAGGTATATATGCATATGTTCATGTGTGTCGATTTATGAAGACCTTATTAAATCTAGGTTTTGTGTGTAAGCTCTTATCTTCATTTGTTTAAGAAAAACCAAAATTGATTTTTCAACCATACATATTTATGATATTTCTTTCCCCTGATTTCTTTCTGGATTTTGTGTATTAGCTATGAGATGAACACAATATCAACTATGAAAAATCTAAGGTTATGTATTATATGATATTTTTTTGACCTGGTTTCTAGGTTTTGTGTTAAATCTTAATGAAATAGATTAACTATGGAAAAATAATTTGACGTTTGTGTGTATGTGTGTGTGTTTGTGTTGAATCTAGTCCAAATCTTCGTCTTCATATGTTCCCTGGATCTTTATGTTATTCAACCTTGTATATATGTATGTGAATCAGGAAGAGAGAGAGAGAGAGAGAGAGAGAGAGAGAGAGAAAGAAAGAAAGAAAGAAAGAAAGAGGAGGGTGAGACAGAGGAAGAGAAAGTGTGTGTGTGTGTGTAAGAGAGTGTGAATCTAGTTTAAATCTTCATGGTGGTGGTGATGTGACCAGTGGTGTTGGTGGCGGTTTTGACAATAGTGGTGGTGACTACTGGTGGTGAGTTCCATTTTTCTGAAAATCAAAACAAGGGAAATGGGTTTTGTGAAGAGATGACGGGACACATTTTGTTTTTTTTCATTTTTTATAGTTTATTGTTATATAGAAAATAGAAAATAAAAGTACAAAGAACAAATTTATCATTTAAAAAAAATCAAAACAAATTAAATCAAATTCACTATAAAACTAAAATTTTTGACCTATTGTGTTAGTCCAAATTTTTTAAGAGTAAATTACATGAATGGTCCCTATGATTTGGGGTAATTTGCACGTTTGATCCCTAACTTATTTTTTTAACTTGGAAGGTCCCTATAGATTGTTTTTGTTGCGTACTTGGTCCCTGTCTTACCTAAAAAGACTATTTTATCCTTAATTTTTTAATTTGTTTAAATAAACACACCCAACTCCACTTCCACATCACCTTATTTTACCTTACTTACTCCACTTTATTTAAATAAATTAAAAAATCAAGGTCAAAATTATCTTTTTAGGTAAGATAGGGACCAAGCATGCAACAAAAACAAACTATAGAGACTTTCCAAATTAAAAAAAATAAATTAGAGACCAAACGTGTAAATTACCCAAAATCATAAGGATCATTCATATAATTTACTATTTTTTAATCTAATATGACAAGTGAAGGACTTAGCTAACCGTATGTTTTATTTGGTAATTTGGGTAAATATATAAATTTTACTTTTTTATATATATATTTTTTGAACATTCATAATTCCAAGTAAATAATAAGACCCTAATAACTATGAAATCACTTTAAAAACAATTTATGATTTACGGATGTTAAAACTTTGGGTAAATTACACGAATAGTCCTTGTGGTTTTGTGCAATCTGCTCGCTTGGTCCGTAAGATTTTTTTAACTCGGACAGCCCCTTGAATTTATTTTTGTTGCACGTTGGGTCCCTAATAGATCTAAAATGACTATATTACGCTTATTTTATTTATTTTTTCTGATTTATCATTATCTAAAATTATTATAAAAAAATTAAAATAATATCCTAGACCTAATCTAACGTTCCCACTTTCTTATTCCTCCTTACACATTTTCTCCCACCAGCTGTCTTTGTCTTCAAGGTTTATCCATGGCATCTTCCTTCATCTACCACCTCCACCGGCGTCCAATGATGGTGGTTCCCTCGTGTTCTTCCTTCAAGGCTAACTGGCACACCCACAAAAATATCGAAGCATATTGACGACATTCATTGTAGAAGGCGGAGGTGAAGCATGCTCTCGAACGCCAACATTTCCCTTGTCGGTACCCCAACCCAACTATGTATCACCTATATGTTTGATTTCAAATTTGATTTTAGTTTAAGGTTTGATTTTGAGTTTCAGAGTCGATTTTGAGTTTGATATCAGTTTGAGATCGAATTTTAGTTTAATGTTTGAATTCAGCCTCATCGATTTGGTTCTAGAAATCAATTTGCATCAGGTGGTGGATTAATTGCATTGTTTGTAAATCGTTTGATCCGGAAATCGACTTATAGTCACCTTCCGACGAACCGGATCAATCCGATGTTGTTTCAAATATCATCGTCTTTGTAGATCTTCTTATCAGATGGGTTCATCTCCATTGATGTTCTTCTCTCACATGGAACTGGATTTTTTGGTTTCAAACTTCCATTTCATATCATCGATATTTTCATCTTCATGAAAATTGATTTTTGTCTTTGAGACCATGGTTGATTTCTAGGATTCATCGTCTATTGGGTTTCAAACATTTCAATTTCAATTTATGTGGTTTCAGATGCAAAAACAAGAACACCAGTTGATCATAGTGGGATTTTGATTTCTCACTTTTTGGGTTTCATCACAAGACACTCTGATTGAATATATTTTTGAATATGGTTTTGGAAACCGGAGTGGTAGTGAGAAGGACGAGAAGGGGGGGGGGGGGGAGGGTTGATGGGATGAGACCCACCTTATTGTTAAGTTATATATATATATATATATATATATATATATATATATATATATATATATATATTACTATCTTATAAAAGAAATCCTACTATTTCTAAAAATAGATTGAATATAATAATATTATTTTTTTAAGACGTACAAACTATTAAGCTGAAAGTACAATTAACCACTAATAAAATAATATTAAATTTAAAATGTCCAAATAATTAAGCATAAAATACCATTAATCAATGCTTATACAATTTTATATTCCAATTCTCTAGAACTTATCTCTTCGTGCTGGTTGACCCAACCCTTTTAAATCCCCAGAAATTTCGTTGATTTACATATCACACGTTTAATTTTGAAGTCTATTTTCTCGGCATCTATCTCTAGAATTTGGTCTCATCACTCTATATTTTGCGGCTCAACACTTGGAGAAACCCAAAAAAGATCGCAAATTCTTCTTCCTCAACCTTACTCTCAATTCCCCAACACGAACCTCTTCTTCCCTTCATCTATCTCGACATCCCTATATATCGTCATTTTCTGTTCATCTATCTCGACATCCCATTATATCGTCATTTTCTATTCATGTAAATTGAATGTCTAATATGATGAATGGATAACCAATTAATTTCCAAATTAGATTGAATCATCTGATACATTCGGTTCTAGGGTTCTAGCTTCCTCTCATAATGCAATGCTCTCAAACGACAGCACACTCAAAACCCTAGATCCATCGCTTCCCTCCTCTTTAAAGTAGACCCATGTTCTGCCTTCAACCACACATAGGCACATAAACGCCCTCTGCCGACTAGCGTCCACATCTTTGAGTTTTAAGCTACAACTTTGGGGAAATTAAAGGCATGTTCATTTTTTTTAGTTTATTTTCAATATTTATTTAATGGGACACTAATTTCTACTAATCGGTTAATGTTTGTGAATCAGGTAATCTGGCGTATGTGAAGAAGTATCAAAATCTCAAGTTTTTTGTTTCATGGAGGCATCTTCAACCGAGTATACCATCGAACAGATGTCACCACGCACCGCACCAGCAAGAATTCCCATAGACACATAGGCACTTCATCAATGACCATCTTCGTCTTTTTTTTTTCTCGGTAACTGTCATTTTCTCTCTACCCTCTCCTCCATCTTAAGGTAATATTCAGAATTTTAGATGTTAGGGAGTTTTATGATTTGGTATTGTTTGATTTATGTTAAGTGGTATTAAGGGTTCAAATTTCCATCCCTAGATGCATGTTAACGTGATTTCTGGTAAGTTGGATTATAGGTTCAAATCTTATGGACCAAAATCTGTTGATATCGAATCAGGTATGTCCCAATTTCATCATTTAGCTAATGATAATGTGTTTTAAAGAGTATAAACATGATTTCATTTTCTAATAACAAATTACATACATTATGTATTCAGTTGAGTTATCCATGTAATTTACTTATAAGTTCAAACCCCAAAAGCTTAAAAGTTCTATATACATCAGGTGATTTTCGTCTTTCCCTCCGTCTGGACGATTAGACCCTTGATGATAGTGTCCACTTTTTTGGAAAATACTAATGGATTCTGGTGATGATCATAAATAAAAAAATTCAGTTTGTCTTAATTGGAAGTTACATGTTGTTTTTGGTCCTTGGTACAGGTCAAATAATTGTTTGCTTATGGTGCAAAC